AATCTTAAAATGGGCCGAGCCGCAGTTAGCCCATTCTAGAATGGGCCAAATTCCGATTTGGGCCAGAACATATATATGAAACCATATACGTATTATATATAGTAAGGCCAATTAAAACCGGATTGTGAGCAAACAACTTTATTAATATTGAATTGGTTAATGAATATTACGTAAATATATGTTCTATTAACAAGTAATATCTTGTTTGATAGTTATTTGAACTTCACAATTCTTTTGAACAATGGTGTTCCAAGTGTTGATCGATGCCATCCTTTAAAATTATCATCACTCTCGAATTCTTCACTTTTATTCATAATCGAGAGAATATCCTTTATTGTTTTTTCATACGCTATCTAGAGGAACAGTTTTGAATTAGTCATTTATACAGAAATAAAAAGTAATAATGGTATTCCCAAGTTATACCTGAAATGCAAACATCGTGTCCAGACCAGTTAGAAACGTATTGCATACTTCGAAAGATCTTGGAAGATCTACACTACCAGTATCAATCATAACGTAAATCCCTGGGCTAATTAATGTCATCATATAACCAGTCCACTTTGTCACTATTTATTACATGAAGCATCATTAATTAGGTAGGCTAAGGTTAGTTAAAACAAGCATTCCTGGAAGACCAGCTTACCAATAACTTGCCAACTGAAAATCCGATTGACACCGGTCTTACGCGAAATATTATCGAGGGAATCTTTCATAAATATCCCCAATCTAACCAGGTCAATTAGATTCTTTTTTTCCGTGTTGTTTTTGCCTTCTCCCGTCACCTCACCGAACATCGTTTCATAAACAAATTTTCCTGTATTTTAAAGAAATATTTAGAACAGATTTATTTGTATTTTTATAATTAGCTGTTTTTTCTATAAGTACCATTATTGACAGTTTTCCCAATCATATCGGGTTGTTTAGCCCGGGAAGGATCACCGATGGCAAGTTTTCGGATTTTTGCGCTGGTGCTGGATGTGTTCGGCCATATCGTAGGATGTATGTATGAGTCATGAAAAAAAATTCGTAAAATCGGACTTATTATATTCGCCACAAGTGTCCCTTCGCTTATAATTTCTTTCAATGGATGTAATGGGATAGTATAAGACCTGCAAAGTAGCAAGAAAAAATCTTGTTAACAGTCATTTCAAAAAGTTGCTTAACTAAGAGATATCGAAACTTACAGACGTTCAAAGAGAAACTTCATTCGTCGAAGAAATTCTTTCTCTGCTGTTGAATTAAATTCCTTCGAAAAAGATTCGGTGATGGTTTCGCGAAGTTCGTGTAATCCACCATCATTATCATCAAGAGCAACCTAAGCAAGATAGTCAGTAAAGGGAACATTGCAAAAGAATGATGATAATAGATGTCCCTTGTTACTTTTTCTTTTCCGATTAACTTTGATTTAATATCCTTTCTGAGATCTTCGAGTGTTTCCCTAGAGAACGTTTTTACTTGCATTTCCGAATAATTATCCATTTGTAATAAAAGAATATGGGATAGACTCCTGAATTTTCAAAAAAAAAAGATAATCAACCCTCATCAGTAAAGTTAATCATTAAAAAGAAAGTTCTACCTACAATATTTCGTGATAATTTTTCGTCATTATCAGATCAGAATTTTGCGCATGAGCTAACACTTTGGATCGATATGACTCAAACAGTGCCGATATGTTTTTTGTTTTGAAAATGAACTATAAAACGATTATTGGTTTAAAAAAAATCGTGCTTACAATCAACCTTAAGAAAAAAAATACTCACAGGTATATCATTTCGATCAACGTACTCGTCAAATCCCATTTCTTCCACATTTAGCCTTAAGCCACATTCATCGTCACTTTCATCACTTTCTGATTCGTCATCATAATAGTCATCATCTTCGGTCTTTGTGCGCTTTCTTGGCTTGTGAAGTACAAAAAATTAATATACGTAAACCTTTGTATAATACATTATTTGTGTTACATTTATACTAACCTTTTCGTCGCTTTCACAATCTCGATCTAGTACTCGTTTCGATTCAGGAGTATTAACATATAGAAAAGCATTCTAATTGCACGGTAATTCATTATGGATAAGCAACAAGATTAAACAAAAAATGTTTATCCACTCTCACAAAATAACTTACATCGTCTCTCAATGTGAATATCGTTTCATCAGACACAATCGAACGTATTTCCTTTGTTTCTTCAATGGTTTTATCCAACGCAGATTTTGCATAGCTTAACTATTAAGTACGGTCAGTCAACTTCTCATTAAATAAGAATCTATAGATGATAATCTGTTCACCTTGGTAAGTTTTATCGAGTCCGACATCCAAAAAGCGTCTACTTCATGGGATGATTTCTCGTCCTTACAAAGCAGAGAATATATTAGTCTAATCAAATAACCAAAACATATCATTATAATCAAAGCATTAGGAGATATATTCCATGAAACGAGACGTAGTCTAACAACCAGAAAGACGTAGTTCCTAGTTGCAACATGGAAATAGAGGCGTAGTCTATTCCCCGAGGGAAGGCGTGGTTCACTGTCACTGGCCGAGACGTAGTCAGCCAGCTACTCGGGGCTTCTATCTCAGTTAATTGATAAATATTTACATAAGCAACACGTACATTAAATTCGTTAAGACATTTTTGAGCTTGAGCACATTTTTCTTTTGATTCATTATTTGAAATAATTCTTTCAAGTCCTTTCGTATATGTCCTATGTTCGTTAAGTTTATCTCTTGTGAAATCTTTTGCATACTGTCGTCTGTATTGCAAGAAAGAAATCAATGACCAAGTTGCATGTTCTTCAAAGTACGTTTGTGGGTCACCCATTTTAAGTGGTATTGAATTTAGTATTTTGGTATTTGCGACGGGTATACGTTATAGATCGCGAGGAACTTTTAACGGGTACACGTTATAATTTTTACTTCACTGCTAAAACGTGACAGCGATCAGCGCATGCTCCTGATTCCATATCGATATACCCCTCCAAAATAAAATCACATGCCTGAAAAATCGATTGCGTAATACAAACATTGTTATGAAATAATTGCAAATAGTCCAAAGCCATATCGTGAAGATATTACATTCCGAGCAATGAAACCCTAAAAGAGGAACAGTAGTTGTATTCGAAGATCTATGTACCGAGCCTAAAAAAATGCAAGATAGAATTGCTCCGTATTTTAGTGAAGGGCGACATGCTAATATCAGTTCAATATACATAACACAAAGCTTTTTCGACTGTCCAAAACTAATGAGAAAAAATTTGGATTATATCGTACTCTTTAATGGCGCGGGTACATATGATGAGCTAGTGAATATTGCCAGACGATATACAAAAAATTGGCAAAATGCTATTGATATACTTGATAAAAGTTTACAAGGCCGGGAGTTTATTGTGATCGATTTAACCAGAGCGAAAGAAGACCCTCTATATATTAGAAAAGGTTGGGACCAAGCACTTGATCTTTCTAATAAGTAGAGCCTGATTTATGATGATAAGATAATAATTATTTTTTTCCCGTTATTTATTAATACAACAATATAAATACATCCTACTCGCCACTTCTTATATAATTAAGAAGATGCACGTATCCAGCCTAGTGTTGAAATTGAGGTGGATGTTTTTAACATCTTATTCGCTACAATTCTCCAATGAAATAGCTATCAGTATCCAGCCTGATTGAAGTTGAAGTAGATGTTGAAAAATAAATAAATTCTATTTGTACCGTGGGGGTTTTTTGTGTCGGATAAAATAACCGTATATAGAAACTAAAGTAGAGATAAAGACTCATGGCTATGCCATAAAAAATGTTACCGACCCCTCAGGATATCGAAATAAAGTCTAAAGTACTATGCTCCTATTTCTAAAAGTCGCTTTCGGAATCTAACCCGCAATTGACTCTTTTTAGAATCTATCCAATTAACTGGAATATAATATTCTTCGTATTGTCTATTAATAATGGAACTGCGCATCATAGGATCGTTTTTATATATTTCAATCCATTTATTACGCCATTGATTAAATTGTTCCCGAGTCTGAGGATTTTTTACTTTACGTCTCGTTAAACCTAAAAATTTCTCATCAGAAGTATTATCATTTCTTAACGAATTCCAAGCTTGAGTGGCTAATGATTCAGGTCTATTCTTGTAATTTCTCCAAGCTCTTTGTATAATCATTGCTTTTCCGAAATCAGTCTTTGGTTTGTCGCATTCATTATCCCAATGACCGATCATCAAATCACTAGGTACAAGATAATCAACATATCTTTGTTTAGTAAAATGGAATGTTTTTTTGGGCTGTACATCATTGATTTTTACGAGTTTCCAGCAACCAAAACAAATAGCCACATGACTTTTATGGATTCTTGGTCTATAATAGTTGAAATTTACAAATTTACCTTTACCAAACGATGCGAATAAACATAGCCGGTGATATACACTAAATTTCCCGGCATTTAATAAATTCTGTAAAGGTACTCTGAATGTGTATTCTCACTCTGTATGTTGTCATCGGGGTCAGAACCAGAAGTATCAGACGATCCAGAATCAGACTGTTTATATGATGAATCGTAATTTTCAATATGTATACTTGGATTGAGTCGTTTTACTACCTTTTCACTAATATTTCACAACTATTCACATCAAGATATTTTAAATTAGGACACGAACGGGCTATTTCTTCAATTGTTTTATCGGAAATGTCACAAAATCCAAGTTTAAGATGCTGAAGTTTAGGACAAGAACGAATAACATTGCATATCGATGGTTCGGTAATGAAATTACACCCTTCAAGATCAAGATATTCTATTTCGTGGCATGTATGAGCTAGTGCCTCAACAACCTCATCGCCAACATCATTATGGGAAATATTGAAATGTTTTAAATTTGGAGAAGACCTGATAATAGCTACAATAAGAAAATCGTTTCGAAAAGCCATATCATGGGCGAAATCAAGGTACTCTAATTTGAGGTGCGTTTGTACTAACATACTAGTATCTTTGATTTTTCCACGACTAGCCGGTATACCTAAGCATCGTAAATTAGAGCATGAGTTTAAAATACAACTTATAGTTCTATCAGTAATCCAATGCGCTTCATTAAAATAAAACTCTCTCAAATTACGACACGATTCCGCAATTGCTATCAATGATTTATCGGTAATACCTCTACAGTAAGAAATACTTAGATATTCTAATTTATTGCACGTTTGCGCAATCTCACATAACCCTCTATCAGATATCATTTGATTATCCCATAAATTAAGGTGTTTTAAATTTGGGTATGATGAAGCTATTCTAATTAATGTCTTATCACTAATGCCCACGCTATTTTTAAAGTCTAAATAAATTATATTTGGGCAGTAATTTATGATAGATCTAATTAATTTGTGTGTAATTGAATGATAATGTGAAATTTTTAAGTTTTTCAGCTTTGAAGCATAAATTGGTTTTTTCTTCCTGCATATTAATTTTATGAAACTTTCTAACCGCGTTCGATATCGTTCACAATAATTATATTCATCTGGGAAATAATGACCGTAATGGATATCGTTACCTTTTAACTCAACTCTCCTCCATAGTAGCGGTATACCACATTGGTACCAAAGCCGATTAACAAACAAAGCGGGATAGAGGGATCGATCGATTTCTAAAAAATATAAGATCTGTTCTAGTAATTCCGGTAAATCAAAAATATTTTGTTGCGCCATTCTCAAGAATATATATTATATATCTTTAATCGAAAAAATAGACACAAAATGTCCTGCTCTGCAGACTAATGTTTGAATGATCGATTTAGGCACGTATATTATTTATTTTCTTGATATTTTCAACCATGCTTAACGGATTTTGAAAGTAATTTTACCCGTTGATGATATCGATCTTCGGCTTGTTTCATAAATAATCCACCTGGTCGATAAATCCATTCAATTACTGCATGCTGAATTATTTTAGCGGAATTAATTTGTCTTCTCCATAAACGATATGTCTGTTGGATAATTAATGATGCACGATTCTTTTTATACAATGCTAATTGAACTTTAAAATTTCTATATTCAGGGTCATTACCTATTTGTTTATGGCTGGTTAAATTATTTTTGATACGAAATACAAAATTTTCCCAGTAATCTTTATTATTTATTTCATACCCTAGTTTTAATAAACGCTTGCGTACATACTTTGGTGGATAATATTTTGCAAACCGTAACCATGCTTCTGACGTTTTAATATTGTTAATGATATAATTTTCACCATATTCACTTAACCTGTCTCGCACTCTGCTATAACTCATCATATATTTACTACTTATTTCAGACGTATTTAATATGGTTTTAATTTTTGCGTATATAATGATTAGAAGATTAAAATCAGATGCTACATGCTTATCACCCGAAGCAATTAGTGATATAATTACTACTAAGGATTCAGCAAATGCATTATGGGATCTAGCTAAAAAATATAATGTACAATGCAACATGGTACAAAATTTTAGGCATATATGCTATGCATTTCCCGAATATTCTCAATTAACTTAACCTCACAACTAGTTCCATTGAGTAATGTGAGAGTTTTATTTGGGAAGTCCAGTTTCATTGCATTTTCCTGGAACCACGGCTGACCCAATATTAGTACAGATTCAAGTTCGGGTTCATTGGTAACGAAAACATCAGTAACTTTTACTTGCTCCCATTTACGATCTTGAGATTGGATCGAAATCTCTATTGCACGAATTATTCCCAATATATTGAACTCGCTAATGGGACTGTATATTTCCGTATCGGAGGTATTATCAATTTTCAAGCCTACTATTTTTGCTATACTCTCGCCCACAATATTACAATTAGCACCAGAATCCAATATAACGGTTACTGGTGCTTTATTAATTTCACAAGATAAAATTCTCATAGTGATGTTTTATTATAACAATATATTTAATTCTGGATTTTTAAATTCGTATTAATAAATAATAATTTCGCATTTAAAATGACTGAAGCTAATAACAATATTGATGACAACCTGGTGAAAGAATCCACAAAAAACTTTAAACGATGTTTGATTGACGTCAATGATGAAGTTGTGGAGGGAATAGTTGATTCAGGCTCAGAATGTCCAATTATCACTTATGAGATTGCGAAAAAATTGGGTTTTGTAAAAGATAAAAGTTTACCCAATATTACCGATAAAGCAGTATCTGATATTGTTAAGCAAGTATCGGGTAAAAAAATCCGAATCTCTCTTCACCAATTACTAGAGATAGTAAAACCCAAGGTTCGTCAAGAACTTATAAACTCGATAGCAAACTTGGATATCCCTCAAAGAAATCATACACCATGCAAGGCTAAAAGAAAGTGCAAAGCTAGAAAAAAACTAATTTTTAATGATACCGCATCTGAGTCCTCGTCTTCATCTGAATCTGGGTCCGACTCTGAATCGTTTAGCTACGAAGTGACTACCTCCGACAACGGTGATAAAGATTTTACTGTGGATATGATGAAAGCAAAGAAGCGTAATTAGTTATCATCATAAAGTCGAAATGGTTTCGCTTCTTCAGGTTTTTGTCCCCGCTTTCT